GGTCCGAAATTAGTAGGGTATCCATTGGATATGTTTATTATATGTAAATGAATTGCTAATAATTTTACTTTAAAAATACATTGAAAATCAAGAAGAAAGAAATTACCATTGGTCCGAAATTAGTAGAGTACCCATTGGATATGTTTATTATATGTAAATGAATTGCTAATAATTTTACTTTAAAAATACATTGAAAATCAAGAAGAAAGAAATTACCATTGGTCAGAAATTAGTAGGGTACCCATTGGATATGTTTATTATATGTAAATGAATTGCTAATAATTTTACTTTAAAAATACATTGAAAATCAAGAAGAAAGAAATTACCATTGGTCAGAAATTAGTAGGGTACCCATTGGATATGTTTATTATATGTAAATGAATTGCTAATAATTTTACTTTAAAAATACATTGAAAATCAAGAAGAAAGAAATTACCATTGGTCAGAAATTAATAGGGTACCCATTGAATATGTTTATTATATGTAAATGAATTACTAATAAATAGAATGTTCCTTCCCCACTAGGCGCTCTATATTTGTAACCAGGTAACAAAACTGTGTTTTGTATATCTAGGACACCTTAGTCTGTAATAATGTTTATTGATATCATTATTACTTAATAAAAAGTTCTTTCCTCACAAGGACCCCATCCCTGTGGCCTTGTGCCAAAACTGCGTTGACTAATGTTTTAGTTATCTCTAATTTGGAACATTAGTGAGATATTGTAGTTGGCTATTACTACTGAGTAGTGAGTTCGATCCTCACTGGATGCCCTATATTTTTGGCTTTGATCCAAAACTAAGCTAAGCTTAACATTAGGACACTAGCCATCAATTAAAGTTACACCACTACTAACCATGGGTATATCATAACCGATTTTGAAAATATCAAAAAAAATATTAAATATAAATCTTTATTTGATATAAAATGACAATTGGAAAAAAATCTTAGATTTTACCGACGCGTTTCGTCTTCCGACTTTTTCAAAGCAAAAATGAAATCGAAATGTTTTTGTTGTTATAGTTACATTAAAAAATCCAAATTTAAAAAGATAGACGCTTCTGTCTAAGCCTTTTTCTGGTTAATGTAAATTACCTTTATAGTAAGAGATTTTTTTCCATGTCGACAATATAGTTAAATTCCCAGATCAATTCTGTGAACAACACAGATTGGGATAAAATAACAATTGGAAAAAAATCTTAGATTTTGCCGACGCGTTTCGTCTTCCGACTTTTTCAAAAAAAAAATTGGATTTTTTAATGTAACTATAACAAAAAAAACATTTCGATTTCATTTTTGCCTTGAAAATGTCGGAAGACGAAACGCGTCGGTAAAATCTAAGATTTTTTTCCAATTGTCATTTTATATCAATCTGTCTTGTCCACAGAATTCATCTGGGAATTTAACTAAATCTTTATTTGTAATATTTTACATGCAGACACTTCAAACTTTGTACTTTGAGTTAACATTAATAGGAACTGAAAAACATATTTAGGTAAGAAAATCAGGTACTGAAAATTGTAATTAAAAAAAGGAAAATTTGCACTGGGTACTATATACCCATGATTAGTGTTCTAGGGTTAATAATAATAATAATAATAATAAAACAGGAAACTCATGACATTTCGATTGCGAGAAAATGTTAAGCAAACAAGATTATCCTTTTATTCACTCCAACGGACAGGAATGGTTTGAAAGGACAGTCAGTCGTAGAAGGATCGAAAGGGTATGTGGAAATGTACTCACCTTAAAAGATACCTAAATGGCGTTCGTTCTTTCTTTTTATGTTGACCAAGCCTAAAGCCAAACGAGGACGTTGGAGAAGACAGACGAACTATAACGGGCAACACCCTTGTGGTAATTACTGCGATGGCATCCGTATAGAACAATTTATGCACATACGCACCACGTAAACCATCGATGGTTGTCCTAGAAGGAAGTCACAAGTCATCGTGGTCGAGGGTTTGAGTGTACTGTCTTCAAACTGTTATTCACTCTACGTTCTCTTCCAGAAACTATAAGTAAGGTCCGCTCAGTATAGATGCGATATAAAGCACAGGTTGGCTCTCTAGGTTCTGCATAAGCACAAATTTGCCTGAGCAGGTATCTGCAACAGGGATTTGATAACCCCTTCTCGAGCAGACAAATATACTTGGAAATGAACGGTAGGCCATACCATGCATGTATCAAGTATATTCAGAGAGCAAGACTCTCTCTCACACACACACTATATATATATATATATATATATATATATATATATATATATATATATATATATATATATATATAAACATTTTCTATCAGAATTTCTGCGGTGAGGAGTTACTATTATTGATGATTATTTACAGTCGAACTAATGTCCTCGTCATTATTATAATCATCATCATCGTCATCATCACAATTTTTCAGCCGTAGTAGCTTCCAGCCTTCATCTGTCAAAATTATTATTATTATTATTATTATTATTATTATTATTATTATCATCACAATGTTCCACCCGTTAATGTGATTATCATCATCAAAATGTTTCAGCTGTTGTGCCTTCCTGTCTCCTTGCCTCCATTAGTTATCTATTATTATTATTATTATTATTAAAATAATAAATACCAGAATTTTCTTTTCCCCTCCATATTTCATTTTCTGATTAAGATTATTTAAAGAAGAATATTTTTGGAAAGAAAGTGCTTAATATTAAAAAAAAAATAGAGCAGCAAAACTGGATTTATCTAATACTGATGAGCAGTGTATCTACGAAAATTGAAAACCTGTCGGAGTTATCTCCTCCTAATTTTTAAACCGCTACTTGGAGGCGCTCTTCACTACTATATATACTTGGCGAGATCTTCTCTCGCTCTCTTTTTCTTACTTTTCAACTGACACTACAACAATGTAAATCTCTCGTGGAGATTTGCGTTTTTCCCTTTGTAGGAAACTCCATGAACAATACATACGCACACACACGTACGTACTAACATTCACTATACATACTTTGACCACAAACTTTACACATTAATTTTTTACACTCATATTATTGTCATTTTGTAAACCGTTTGTTGTTTAATACATTATCATTTGTCTGTACATTGATATTCAGTTGTTGTTTTTTGTTTTTTTGTTTTTTTTTTTTTAGGTGGACTCATTCCGAGTCTGCCATGTTTGTTGTGGGTCATTTCAGGAGACGCACGTATTTGTCTCACAACGCGTACACCGGGCCAGCGACTAACCTATATATAAGTCTTTTGAACTCTGGGTGCATTCATGGGAAGTTCAATGAGTGCCAAATAAAGTTTCTTAATAATTTTTTGTGTTAAACTGCAAGGCTACAGACTAAGTTTGTTTTATTTTGTTTACCATTGTCCCACGAAACAATTTTAAACCAGCCGAATCATTTAAATTGTCAGAACTTTTTTTAATTAAATTAATAAATTCAAAACAAAATAAAAACAGTATTTACATTTAATCACAGTTCAATTAAGAAAATATATTTTTTGAGAATTATGATAGAACAAAGTTTTTACATAGGACAAAAGTTTTGTTTTTTTTTCAATTGGATCAATAAATTTAAAACAAAAATGTCGGCAAATTTCAATAGGTTCAGACACGTCAGAAAAATAAAACAACCAAGAAAGTTTGTAAGGTGACATTGATGTCTATTTATGTCACCCATACATCCCACTGTCCAATAAAAGAGAAGGAAATAGTAACTGAAAGAAAGAAAGAAAGAAAGAATAAGTGCTAAGAAGGATTAATAAGCGTACGAAGAGAGAAGGAAGGAAGGAATAAGTGCTAAGAAGGATTAATAAGCGTACGAAGAAAGAAAGAGTGAAGGAAGGAAGGAATAAGTGCTAGGAAGGATTAATAAGAGTACAAAGAAAGAAAGAAAGAACTATTTAACAGAAATTGAAAGAATATGTGCAAGGTATCGCTTTTCAATGGAAACCTTAGTTGCGTCCCTGGGATGCACTGATGAAGAAGTTACTGTTTCCGTTAAGATTTTTATTCATCAGTGACGCAGGGAGAGCGCCTATCAGCATCTCTGATATATATACCTTCTCAGATTCGCTAATAAATAAGCATACGTCAAAATCTTTATGTTAATAATAACATAAAAAGGAAAGACCAAAGGATATTTTTTATTATTAGATAATATTTTTTTATCATTTTTTAGAACGTTCGACATTTTGGTTAAAAATATTTTTTTTTTAAATTAGTATAGGATATTTTAGCCTCTCTTTTGCGCATATTTGGAAATTCTTTCAAAAATCAAACAAGTGCCGGATTTTAATGAAAATTTCAGGACATTTTTTCACAAATTAAACAAATAATAGCGTTTTTAATAAATTTCGCTGTGTAAAAACAGAAAAAAAGTCTTCAGTAGAAACATAACAAAACATTATTAAAATTAACTTCCTCGGGAGAGACTAACATTTTTAATAAGAAAAACTAAAAAAACAAGATTCATAAGTTATTTCTTTAAGATCAAGTAAAATTAAAATGTTACATTTCGCTATAAGAAGCGTGGTAAAAATTCAACATACGTTTTTCATTTGTTAGAAACAGAAATACAGATAAATAAAGTGGATCATTGGTTTATTTGCTTTCAGGAATAAAAATTAAATATAGAAAAATATCAAATTAACTTTAAGTGAAAAATGTTAATTTAGCTTCTAAGTAACAAGACCAGGTTCCCTAAATGGAATTCTTTTAGTGAACTCTGCACAAAAAAGGTTATATTTTTGCAATGAAAACATAAAATTATATATAGCAAGTCCGATGAAAATAAAATAAATAAATCTTATGCTTACTAAATATTTATTAAATAAGCTAAATTTATTCCAAATGTAAAAAGCCAAAAAAAATTTTAAGCCAACTACAGTAGCGAACTAATGCAAACCAAAACTAAAAATCTTCGCCCACAGTGGAACAATGAGATTTGAAGTAAACCTCCAGTTCTGGATATGAGTTGCACTATAACTTGGCCTTAAGTAAAGAACGTCATGTTCCTTTATCCGTTTTCGTGTTATCTTTTTTCTTTACTTTTTTTATCCGATTTTGCTATTCTTTTCTTTTTATTTTTCTTTCTTTTTACTTTTCTTTCTTTACCTTTTGCTTTTCTCTATTTACACCTTTTACTTGTCTTTCTTTATCCCCCCTTTCTTTCGTTCTTCAACCACTTTTTTCTTTCTTTTCTACCTTATCCATTCTTCTTTCTCCATTTTCTTTTCTCTTCCACTTTTTCTTTTCTTTCTTTTCCCACTTTTCCTTGTCATTCTTTATACTTCTTTTTTGTCTTTTCTTTCTTTTTAGCTTTTTTCTTTTTTTATTTTATCCCTTTTGCTTTTCTTCCCCTCATCCGCCTTTGCTTCTTTTCTTTCTTTTCTGATTGTCGATTTTTTTTAATCATTTTTCTGTTCTTTTTCTTTAACCATTTTTAGCCGATTTCTTTCCTTCCCTTTTTCATTTCGCCGTTTCTTTTCGTTTCGTTTTACAATTTTTCTTTTTTTACATCTTTTTATTTTCTTTCTTTTTCTCTTTTCTTTTTTCTTCACCTTTATTGCTTTTCTTTCTTTTTACCCGTTTTCTTTTACTTCTTAATCCGTTTTCTATTTCTTCTCTGGCCTTTTTCTTTTCTTTCCTTACTCCTTTTCTTTCTTTACCACTTTTTCATCTTCTTTTTAGCCGTTTTCTTTCCTAATCCGTTTTTCTTCTATACCTCTTTTCTATTTCTTTCTTTTTCCCTTTCCTTTTCTTCCTTTATTACTTTTCTTTCTTTCTTTTTACCCTTTTTCTTTTAATTCAGCCGTTTTCCTTTTTCTTCTTTACCCCTTTTTCTTCTTTACCCCTTTTTCTTTACTTTCTTTTCTACTTTTCTTTTTTTTCTTCGTTTAATTTAAATGTTGTTCCTCTTTTTCTCTTCTTCCTTTGCCCGTTTTTCTTTCTTTACCCCCTTTATTTTTCTTTATTGTTACTCATTTTTTACTCCTTTTCTTTTCCTTCTTTCCTTTCATTTTTCTTTATTATTCCTTTTTTCTTTGTCCTTTTTGTATTTCTTTACCACCTTTCCTTTCTGTTTACTCTTTTTTCTTTTTTTTTTTTACCTTTTTTCTCTTCTTTTACTCATTTTAATTCTTTCTTTAGCTTTTGCTTTCTTTTTGCCCGTTTCTGTTTTCGTTCTTCTTTTTTTCTTTTTTGTCTTTAGTCCTTTACTTTTCTTTCTTTTTTCAATTTCCTTTCTTACCTTCTTTTAAATGTTTCTATTTTAATTTGAACAACCAACTTTGGAACCACCACGTTTATTTCACTCTTTTATTCTGATTATTATCTTGGTAGCTAATGGTATTCTTTAAGTTCCTATTGCTGAATATGCTGACTGATTTTGGTCATTCGAAGCCTGTATTTTTTTTAAGTTAATAAAAATAGACATTTTTGGTCACCTAAATATTCAATTTCACTTCAAATAGATTTTACATTTGGTTACGGAATTTACCCTTTTTTTCCTTTTCTTTACTCTTTGTTCTTTTCTTTTACTCTTTTTAATTCTTTCTTTAGCCATTGTTTTCTTTTTCCCCTTTCTGTTTTCCTTCATTTTATCCTTCTTTATTTCTTTTTCTTTAGTCCTTTACTTTTCTTTCTTTTTCAATTTCCCTTTCTTCCTTTTTTTACCTTCTTTTATCATCTTTTTTATCCATTTTCTTTTGTTTTACTCTTTTACTCTACTTTTTATCCGTTTCCCCCGTCTCTCTTTGTGGTGATACCCTTTTTTTCTTTTCTTTTTTAACATTTTCATTTTCTTTGATTTTTTTTCATGGAATGGACGTACAAAGTACTAACATGTGCACTAGATCAAGTTTCATTGGAAAAAATATGAAAAAAAGTAAATAACGGAATTATTTCTTTTGTTTCAATTAATTTGCACAAGGGCGTATTTTACTTATTTGAGATATCAAATTTTGTCTATTAACTTGAAATTAAAACTAAAATTAAAGTTTCAAGAAAGAACTTTCATTTTTTAAAATACATTTTAAAGTTTATTTCTTTGGAGGTACCTCGACCAACAGTTAATCAGTGTGTTTAAGTTAGTTTCTGCCATGCAGCATTTAGCAGAAGACGGACTTATTTTATGGTACTGCATGTTAAAATATCGAAATGAGCTTATTAATCTTGTTTTTTTTTTGTGTTTTTTTTTTCGATTGACGATCCACGTAATGCTTGAAAAATCTGTTATAACCTTTTAATAAAAAAAAAAAATGGCCGTGATGTAAACTGAAAAATAAAACCATGGAAATGCCTTGCTGTTGTTTTTTTCATTTTACATCTCTTCTATCTTCTTTTACCATCTTTTTATCCATTTTCTTTTGTTTACTCTTTTACTCTGCTTTTTTTTCCGTTTCCCCCGTCTCTCTTTGTGGTGATACCTTTTTGCCTCCCTTTTTAACATTTTCATTTTCTTCCTTAACTTTTATCTTTTTTAAATCTTTCTTTTATTTCTTTTTACCCTTTCCTTTCCTTTTTCTTCTTTTCCTTTTTATACTTTCTTTTTTTCTCTTTCTTTTTCTTTCTTAACAGCTTTTCCTTTTCTTACCCTTTTTCTTTTCTTTTTTTCCCATTTTTCTTCATTTCTTATTAACCTTTCTCATGTTCTTCTCTTTCCTTACTATTTCTTTTCTTTTCTTTTCTTTCGTTACCCATTTTCTTTTCCTCTATTTATTCTCTTTTCTTTTTGCGCCTTTTCTTTTCTTTCTTTAATCTTTTTCGTTTCTCTCTTTTTCTTTGTCTCAGTTTACATCTCTTCTACCTTCTTTTAGCCTCTTTTTATCCATTTTCTTTTTCTTTTTCTTTTTTTTTTTACTCTTTTAATCCACTTTTTATCCGTTTCCGCCGTCTCTCTTTGTGGTGATACCTTTTTTCTTTCCTTTTTTTAACATTTTCATTTTCTTTGAGTTTTTTTTTCCATGTACAAGCGTCTAGTGCGAATTATTACCATTCAACCTGATTTAAAATCCTTTTAATATGTTCACGATGCACATCCGCATCTTGTGGCATATTGAATATTAAAACTGTCTATTCATAAATTGAAAAGCTCACTACAATTCAACGGACTCCAATATTTTAAAAAAGAATTTTGATTTATTTTGAAACGTGTAGACTTTTGTAAATACGGACGTCCATACACGACATTATCAGAAACTAGAAGTACCTATAGCAAATTTACAATTGGTAATTTTCTAGCATTTTTTCAGCAAGCGTTTTTGTAAGTAAGACTATAAAGTCATAGTACCTAAAATTCAATAAAATATTAGAATGCTTAAATTATTTTAAAATTTTTAGATTGCTGGGTAGTTAAAAAATAGAATTATATAAAATAGGCGTTTACGTTGTATTCGTTATGCAATTTTTCTAGATATTGTCCCAATTATTTAAATTTAAAATTTAAATAAATCACCCAAGACATCAAAACATACCCTTTGTCTTAAAAAAAAAATTCTGTGATATTTTAACGTAAAAGTAATATGTTTCAGATTAATTAAAATTTAAATCAGTTAATTTTTCTAAAATAACGTTTCAGAAAAGTATATTCTATTTTCAAAATATTTTTAATAAAGGAAATTATGTTATGTTAACAAATCTGTCAATATGGACGAATTTATAGATTTTACTGATACGAAGAAAAAGGAAAATTCCAATCAGTTTAAAACAGAAAGACCCAATGTACACCCTTGTGCAAATTAATTGAAACAATCGCTTTAGTTTCCTTTCTCTCACCATACGGTCAGTTTTAGACCCTCTTGAGTGACAGGTTGTAATTGATTTCTATTTCGTCAGATTAGGTTATTTGCAGTGGTGTACAGTAATATGAATCTATTTTCAGGGTGTATAATGAAATTTGTTTGGCCTTGAAAATATTGCGTCATCCATGATTGCATCAAATTTTCATCACGCCAACACACTATTGTTTCGACTATCGATTAGTTGTCCTACGGCCATTGTCTACGAAGGACGTTACTCCAAGGGAGCGTACGAAAATTATAACGCTGCACAAACAAGCTGGCAATCCTTACCAGAGAACAAATGAAATTACTATAGACTGACCAGGAAACTCTCCTGATTTAAATCCAATTGAGAATCTGTGGTCAATCTGCAAGTAACGACTTCGTGGAATGGATATACGAAGTACTAACATGTGCATTGTGTCATGTTTCATTGGAAAAATATGAAAAAAGTAAATAATAATGGAATTATTACTTTTGTTTCAATTAATTTTCACAAAGGTGTATTTTGCTTATTGGAGATATAAAGTTTTATCTATTAACTTGAAATTAAAACTAAAATTAAAGTTTCAAGAAAGAACTTTCATTTTTTTTAAATGCATTTTAAACTTTATTTCTTTGGCGGTACCTCGATCAACAGTTACATCAATGTGATTAAGTCAGTTTCTGTAATGCAGCATTTAGCAGAAGACGGACTTATTTTATGGTATTGCATGTTAAAATATCGAAATTAGCTTATTAATCTTGTTTTTTTTGTTGTTTTTTTTGTGTGTGTGTTTTTTTTCGATTGACGATCCACGTAACGCTTGAAAAATCTGTTATAACCTTTTAATAAAAAAAATGTCCGTTATGTAAAGCGAAAAATTAAGCAATGGAAATGTTTTTATTACTTTGTCTTTTTCATTTTACAGCTCTTCTACATGTCAATCGTGATCTACGCTATGTCCATGGCTGTCAGTTTTTGTGAGTTTACATATCTTTTTTTCTTTTTTAATGTACTGTTATGTCTATACTTAGAAGAATTCAATAATAAATAGAATATAGAATAAATAATAAATTAAATGTTATGTTTTATGTTACTGTTCGTCATCCAATGAATGTTCTTTAGTATTTTGTCTCTCCTTGTCATGAATTTATATGACGTGCGTCAAATTTTTATTATCGTCTGCTTTGACCAATCTACAAAGGTGGACATCAGCAAAAGCCTTTTCTTACATTTTATTCTTTCTTTATTTTATTTTACTTTTAGCTGCCTACTAGAAGGAGAAACATTTATTTATCTATTTATTTTGAGGAAATTTTGCTATACCATCTTCGAGTTAAGGCCACCCTGTTGATTAATTTAACACTTTTCCCTACAGCTCGAATAAAAATTAGCTGGTTCAAGATTTTACTTGCACGCTTGTTTTCCACGTGTGTTGAAAGATGCTATTCTATCTAGGTAGCGCCAGGCATTTAAAAAAAATCCAAAAATGCATTTTAAATAATTTTAATGTCTTCCTTGAACTTAAATTTAGATTCTATTTTAAAGAAAATAATTTCAAGCTAAAACGAGTAAAACGAAAAAATAATTTCCGTGTATAAATAAAATTTTTAATCCATTGATGTATTTTCGTCACTCATCGACTCATTCAGCTGCCATTGTATACGAAAAATGTAAACAAATTTTAAATTCTCTTTTCTGGATTTTCTAAAAGTAATGCTTACCTTTACTCAAAACAGACTAAAAATAACGTTTTATTTGCGCACGGTAGCCTGTGAGCTCAAAGACAACAAAAAAATAGTGTAATCCACCCCTGTCCGAAAAAGCACATGAAAAAAAATATATATATATAACGGAATACAGAAGACGAACAGCACAATAATCAAAAATTTCTTATTTATGTTTAAAAATACATTTTCTTTAACATTAATTTTTTTATAGTAAGAGTTACGATTTACAAGGTGATATAATGGAATATGCATACACCTGTGTTTCCCCTCACTGGAATATGATTGGCTGGTGTCCGTCATAAATACCAACGGAC